TTACGGACGTTAGGTTGGGTTCTACGCAGATAGGTTACGGACGTTAGGTTGACACTTGCACAGATGCTGCCCATATGTAGATTTCCCGCGTAATATTTGAACAAGAGAGAGAGCGGTGTGTGATTGGTTAGGGTAGAGTGAAACTGGGCAGTGATTGGAAGATATATAAGACTGGAGCGCATTTGAGGGGGAAACTGACGGTGAAAGCAGGACAGGACGGGACGACGAGATGGCGACTGTTATGGTTGTAAACAATATATTTCTTTAATTGAACACAAATTATATGTCTTCTTGATTATTTATACGTTAATTTATAACATACAAACTACGTCCCTACAATACTCAAAATTCACAGAAACCGTTCTCGACGAGGGTCAACTCGACCCACGAGCCGAGGTCAGCGATCTCAGTTTATACGCCATACTTAGTTTATTAGAGAGCGTGCGCACATGCGCCATAATATAACATAATTAATAGAACACGTGTATACATATTCTTTACTTGCAGTGCATTGGAAGATGACCCCAGATCTGGGGGTATTGAAGGAGGCCTCCTGTTAGGTGACAGCGGCTATGCCTTAAGTAGGTTTTTGGTAACACCATATATGCAGCACCAGCCAAGGAAAGACAAGAAGGGTAATTTTCAAAAGATATTTTGTGAGTTATATTTGAGATTCTGCATGTACAGTTATTATAGTTTTTACATGTTTTAATCATCATGACAAATATGTATATATATATGCTAATGGTTAAATCGCAACTCAATAATAATAACAATGTAACAATAAGTCAATAACATCGAAGAGAAGCCTCATAGATTTAAGTATTAATGTCGTTCTACGGTAGCAAAAATAACTATACTATTATAAATAATAATATATTATATATGTAATATACATGAATACTATAAATATAATAATAGCAACCTAATTCCATTTTGTGTACATGCAGGTTCAATGATGCTCACGCTATTACAAGAAGTGTTGTAGAACGCGCATTTGGCTGGCTGAAGAGACGATTTCACTGCCTTCATGGTGAACTCCGCTTGCAACCCCTTAAGGCCTGCCGTGTAATTACAGCCTGTGTTGTTCTACACAATTTTGCAATAATGATTCGGGATTGGCCAGATCGAGAACACCCCATGGAGGAAGATGGAGACGATGACGATAATAATGACGATGGTATTGAAGACGATTCTCTACCACCACGTGTCCAACCTCAGCGGCAACTAGGCCTCTTTATCCGGGATTATCTGACTACTAATTACAATTTCGTAAGCATATACAAATAGTGTTTTCACAGTATTGCAAATTTAAATTCAATTTAACACAGATGATGCACGGTAAGCGATGAGTAACACCACGGAGAGAGAGTGAGAGTAGAAAACCAACAGGGCCAATGGCGCCGAGCCGAATTTGCCAATCTCCAGCGCTGATAACGGCTGACGTCAGATTCTTGTATAGTGTATAGATTAACTCGCGAAAACGGCGGCCTGTTGCTTGCACGCATGGCAGATCGTTTTCACTCGTGACACCCACACTTACTCGAACGATGATAGATATTTTCTGCAACGCTGTGAATGACCAAAATCTCTAGAAAATTAACCAGCACACGCAGCACATTTGGCACGCACGCTTGCACATGCTACACACGCGCACAGCTTTAGTAAAACCAAATGGTAGCAACATGGTAGCTAGTATGGTACCAGTATGGTACCAGCAACATGGTACCAGTATGGTAGCAACATATTTCACAAGACTTCATAATTAAAAAACGTCAATGCAACATGCTTCAAACATGAACTAGTCAGATCAAGTATAGTTCGATCTAACAATTTGTGCACAAAAGAAACACTTGGAATGGAACAAGTGCCGCGGAGCGACAGCGCTCATCTAACGTCTACTGCGGTGACTCTGTGGTGGAGTGGTGGGATTCTAGTAAACCCTGTTAGTCCCCAAATGTGTTCACCATACACCGAAACAGTGGAATGCACCCGGGATGGTATCAGGAAGCCCTCTCAAAGGAATGTCTTGGGATCGTTATGAAAGTTGCCGAACAAGATGGCGGCGTACGTTTTAAGTGTCCTCAGATTAAAGATGGAAGCTACCATCGGTACGTAGTTAGGCAACAACTATTGTGCAAGAGCAGAATAGGTAAGCTACTCATCCATTTACCTACGCAAGCGGCTACAGCTGCAATAGAGAGCTGGGGCCACCCTGTAAGCCAATTAACGCAGGCAAAAACTCACAAGTAACCACCACCACATAGCAGCTGGCAGTGGCCACTGCGCAGTGGGCGATACGTTACATGTAACATACTGACAGTAATAGAATGGCGCATAGAAATATACGATGTAAGGAGCATAAACCTTCTCACGAACAAATTTAGCTATTGGAAATTGTCACTGTGGACAATTGTAGCCATCATACCATCCAGGCATTATACCGGATTCTACTAGCAACCCGGCGCATTCAAATTCTTTCTAAGCCAGACAGTAAACAATCCATGGTTTAATCCGCTGCCTCTTAGAGGTTCCAAAAAGTTATCGCCCTTACTCTTCGGCATGTGCAAGAACGGTACATTTCATGGTGCGCTCTTCAATAGAAGCCCCATAAATAATGCTTAGCCACCGCTGAAACAAAAAGTTTTTCAATCGCCCGCAACCCGATGTTCCTCGCAGAACATGTCTCGACATCCCCCGAAACTCGTTTTGACGATGCCGCCCCCAAACGAGACCCGAATATACGTGACGCGCGTCACGTCGGCGGTTAAGATCTTGTGGCGGCCAATCTTGTTGACGGACGGACACGGACGACCGGACCGGACGGACGAATCAATGTGCGAGTTCTACAAGCTGCATCTGACTACGTCAGATGAAGGGCTCTTAAAAATAAAAAAATATAACATTCCAACTTTTTCACAAATATAAGTAATGTCTGTTGACGAGATTTTATGGTTAAATTGCTTGTGCCTATTTTTTGTATCATTGTTCGATGTGACATTAACACTCGTGACTCATCACATAGCCCATAGCAAGCAATTAATGTCAGAAAACCATAATATGCAAAATCGTCCAGGTTTTTATGGATTTTTACCTGGATAAGGATGGAGAACAAATATATATATATAACAAATATAATAATATATAAAATATATTATAAACATATAATTATAAATATATAAAATATATAACAAATATAAATATAAGGATGGGAGAAACAAATAGAAGACTGGAGAGTGGACAACCACTAGATACAATGAATGTAACACAGACAATAGTACTGCTCATAGGCAATGTCTCCCAGGGTACTGCGGAACGTAGCCCTGGGTACGGTCGGCGGTACTACCGGAAACGTACGCGCTGGTTAGATATTTCCTATTTGAATATGGTTAGGGTTCGGGTTAGGAGTAGGCGGTAGACGACTCCCTAAACTCGTTAGTGGAGTAGGCGAGCTACGCGGTTCCCGGCAGTATTACGATAGTACCCAGGGTACGTTTTTGCGGTATACCGGAGCCGTACCCAGGGTAACGTTCGCCCCCCCGGGTTTTTTGGTCCCCCCCCCACGGTCTGAGATTACGGCCCCAGTCTGAAAGTAACCGCTACGGCTACTGGCGGCATCATTGCGGCCACGCCAGCTGCGCACGCAGGTGGCTGGGTGTAAAGCGCAGTACAAAAAGTTAGCATTCGGTTAAGCTGAGACTGCACGTCACAGCTGTCAGCGTCTTAACGCAATATTGTTTTAGGCAAAGTTTGTTGTATTAGCCAATTTGTCAAAATACGGAGCAGACACAGTTTATTATTGCTCTCTCCCAACAGCGGGATGTGACTATACCACTGGACGGCGTGTGGGCTCAGATTCAATATGGCTATAACGCACGGCGGCGCGTCATGACCGACTGCATATATGGCTAGAATGAGGAAGGGGAGAAGGCAGAAAAGCTGGTGGAAAAGAGGAGGGGAGAAGGGAGAAGGGGTGACGAAGGAGGAAGGGAGAAGCTGGTGGAGAGAGTGAAGGAAGGGGAGAAGGCTGGTGGGAGAAGGAGGAGAGGATACAGCGGTAGAAGGTGTTGGAGAAGAGGAGGGGGCGAAGACGGTGATGAAGCTGAGGAGGGGTATAGAGAGAAAGTGGTTGGAGAAAAAGAGGGAGAAGCTGGTCGGAGAAGCGAGGAGGGGGAGAAGGTGAGAACGGTGTTGGAAGGAGGGGGCAAAGCTGTGGGAAGGATCGAGGGAGGGCGAGAAGCTGGTGGAGAGGAGGAAAGGGAGAAGGAGGGGCGAGAAAGAGCTGGCTGGAGGAGGAGGAGGAGAAGAAGGAGAGCTGGTCGGAGAAGGTTTAGGGGAGAACCTGTGTGGAGAAGGGGGAGAAGGTGGTGGAGAAGGAGGCGGCAGAAGCTGGGGGGAAGGAGGAGGGGAGAAGGAAAATAAGGGGGCGCGCCTCGCGCGCCGGGGGCGTGGACGGGGGGGGGGGAGATAGAGAGAATCCCTCCTCCCCCTACTCCATCACCTTCTCTCCTCCTCTTTCGCCTCCAACACCTTCTCCCTCTCCTCCTCCTCCCTCCTACACCACTTCTCACCTCCTCGCCCCTACTCCATCACCTTCTCCGCTCCTCCTTCTCTTCCTCGCTCCTCCCCCTACTCCATCACCTCTCTCTCCTCCTGCCTCCTCCCCTACTCCATTCACCTTCTCCCTCTCCTCTCTCCTCCCTCCTTCAATCACCTTCCTCCTTCTCCTCGCTCGCTACTACTTCCATCACCTTCTCCTCTCCTGCCCTCCTGCCTCTCCTTTCGCTCCATCACGCTTCTCCCCTCATCGTCTCTCTCCAAATCTGCCTACTCCGTCACTCTTCTCTCTCCATACCTCCTCCTACCATCATCTTTTCTCTCCTCCCTACTTCCTCACCTTTCCTCCTCCTACCTCTACCTACGTGCCATCCTTCTTCCTCCTCCTCCTCCTCCTCCTCATCCTCCTCCCCTCCATCACTTCTCGGCTTCTGTTCCTCTTCCTCCATCACTCTTCTCGCTCCTCCTCTCCCTTCTCCTCTCGCCCTCCTCCTTCCTCCTCCATCTTCAACCTTCTCTCCTCCTCCTTCTCCTCAATCACCTTCCCCTCCTCCTCCTCCCTCGTCTCCATTTCACCTTCTCTCCTCCACTCCTCCCTAACCTCCCTTCTATTGGGCAGGCCGGGTTAATATATAATGTGCCGGCGAACAATTCCAGACCGCTCTGACGATTACCCCAGTCTGCAATTTACCCCACTATGGGCACACAGGAATAATTTGCCACGAGGGAATTTTCAGACTGGGGGTAATCTCAAGACGTGACACCGTCTGAGATTACCAGTCTGAATTTACCCAACCTTATGGGCACACAGGATATAATTTGCAGGGTGAATTTCAGACTGGATTATCAGTAATGGTGACCAGCGTGACACGCGGTCTGAAGATTACCCGTCTGATTTACCGCACCTATGGCACACAGGATATAATTTGCAGGAGCTAATTTCAGACTGGGGGTAATCTCGAGACCGTGACACCAGTCTGAGATTACCACAGTCTGAATTCCCACCTATGGCACACAGGATATAATTTTGGCAGGGTGAATTTCAGGACTGGGGGTAAATCTCAGATACCGTTGACACATGCAGTCTGAGGCATTACCACAGTCTGAATTTACCACCTATGGGCTACAGCAGGGATATATTTGCAGGGGGTAATTTCAGACTGGGGGTAATCTCAGACGTACGTGACACCGCGTCTGAGATTACTCCAGTCTGAATTTACGCCACTATGCCAGGACAATCTCAGACTGTGCGCGGGGCATGCCGAGCTCATTATCCAGCGCTACGCGGCTCGCGTCACGGCATGCGCACGACGGAGGTCTAGGGGTAATTTCGAGACTGGGGTAATCTCAGACGGACACTAGGCAGTACCCCGGGGGAATAGACCCTCTCCGGCTCCTCAGCAATATATACTAACCGTTACTATAGTAGATCTAGTACTAGTAGTAGTATACTACTACTACACTAGCTAGGGTTGCATTTGCTGCTAGACCGAATAATTCTGTCCATTTAACTTGTTTTTTTATATTTTGTGAGGTTATATAAGGCCAAGTATAGGCCAATATAAACCCTCACAAAATATAAAAAGGTTATATGGACAGAATGTATTGCGTCTACATTTGCTGCATGTATGGGGTAACGTCCTCTCTGTGTGGGCTTACATTATTCCTTGGACAGACAACTCAATTTGAAATATACGACAACCACTGGACAATTGAAACCAGCGGCAGTTATGTGCGGAATAATTCTGTGTATCCAAACAATACATATTTTAGAAAATTCAGAGCGGGTGCCAAGATACAGAGTGTCAAAAGTAATATACAAACGGTTGGCCTTTACAATAACAGCTGTTCTATCTTATTATATTTACCGATTGAGATTTCACGAACGACCCGATTTCACGGCGAAATCGGCTGGACCTCGTCACTAATATTTCTTATTACCATTCGAAGTTCACCGAGATTTCACCGAAATCGGCGGGAACCTGCGCTAACTAATTAATTTTATTACCATTCGAGATTTCACACGAGATTTCACTGCGAATCGGCGGGACCTGGTCAACTAACGCTTTTGCTCTTATAAATACTAATATTATTGCCTAGCCAGTGCCCGGGAAACTTTTCATTCGCGGGCCAAAATGTAGATTTTTTGAACGCTCGGGGCCAGAAATGCGAAAAAAAAAAACACAATTTATTGAAAATCCCTAAAACAACCACATGACAGGGCTAAAATCACTGTATTTCACGTATAACTGTACAATCCTGTCATGGGAAGGATGGAACTGCTTCTTCTGATTCATAATAGCAACATGTTGTGGTTTCATCCGCGAGGAAGCGATTCTCAGAGTGTTTTCCAAATGTTCATCTGAAATAGAGTTTCTGTCCTTCGATTTTGAATACTTCAACTTGGAAAAGAATTGCTCACAGAGATAAGTGCTGCCGAACAGCGTCACTGTTTTCATTGCATGATGAAGAAGGTTCGGAAAAGATTCATCAGAGACACAGTCTTTGTAGAACTCGACTAGTGTTTTGACAAGAATTGTGCCTTCAAATCCATGTTGTTCTGCAGATCAATTAATTCTAACTGCAGATTCGTGGGAGCTGTCACTGGATCAACAGAAAAAGGCATTGAGAAGATCTTGAAGTCATTTTCGTTTGCACGAAACTCTTGAAAACGCCGAGAAAACTCTGCTGTGAGTTTTTCGATTTCAGTGGAGTATCTTCCTCCTTCTGGCTTCAATTCTTTCTGACTTTTCAGACAAGGGAAATGATCGAC